GAATATATTTTATCATTATAATAGATCATCATATTTAGATGGTGTTGAATGATAAATCGAATATTATGGATATCACGTCCCTACATTAACTAGACCTATTTAATACACATTATGTTATCACAGGGGACGATGATTATTATCATGAAAAATATCATGACGAGGGCCGTAGGCTAAGTGGGAAATGTGAAAGTCATCTATACGAAAACCCACCATTTTTCATTAGAACTTTAAAAAAAAAAAAGAATTAAAATCAATTCAAATTGATCATAATTCCTAACGTGATCTAAATCGTAATTCAATTCAAATTAACTTATGGGTCAAGTTGCCAAGGTTTGATACGATCTAACCCATAAAAAAGGGATCAAAATCTGTTAACATGGTTCGAGTTGGTCCTTTCTATAATGATCAAGTTGTGTCAAATATGAATATTCAACTCGATGTGGATCGGCTTGATGACCCTACTTTCAAGTATGGCGTATTTTAAAATCATATTAAAAAATAAAAAAAATAACACGGACAAAACGACATGTGATGTTGGCAAGTCTGTATGCTCGATCCGCAACTAGGAATGGTTAATTGAAAACCGCAACTAGGAATAACAACATACTGAGTGAGGTGACGTAGAGCGAGAATTAAATAACACATTTTACTACTTCATTCACTTATTTATTTTTTAAATATGATTTAAATTTAAAAAACATAAAAATTAAATTTGGGATTGGACCATTTTTGCCGTTCCCGTCCCATTTAAGACTGGGCGTTTGCGAGATTTTATTCTTCCCTGCCTACAATGTCCATGAATTGGGCTAAAACGTAGGCGAGTAGATCTTAGACCAACCCAACCATTTAGGTATTCTTAAGTTAACTCATCAAATTTGTAAACAGTCCAGATGAAAACTTTATTTTCTCCCGTCTTATCATATCGATCCGTCTCTATATAGAGAAGAGGAAATTAGGCCCATTACTCTAAAAAGATAGCAAATTAGATTTATACCCTAAAAAGATTAAAACATTCTCCCACCGTATTTAATACGTTCATCTCCTTCCTCCATTTCATAATCCGCATCCATAAATCCCACCCCAGTCGACACCGGAACCACAACCACCGCACCCTCATCTCCATTTTTCATAACTTTACCTTCCAATTTTTTTTCTTCGACCCAAATTTCATCAATTCCTCCTCCTTCTAGTTCCTCGTCTACTTTTTTACACATTTCCTTTGTCTCTTTCTTGCTACGGTGGCGATGATGCTTTCGATATTGGAAG